TTTGGGTTTTCACAGCTTCCTTATTTCTGCCCCTTAGTCAAATATTTTGTTCCAGAAGGACATTTTGCTTTCATCTCTTATCATATCATTCTTCATGCAGGTCACATCTCCTTTAGCTGAACACTGGGGGAAGATTCACACCTCAAAATCCTTTTCACTCTAGTCAGACACAAAGCCAACTTTGACCCTTCTGTATATTGACTTTTGTCAGTAAAATGAATGTCTATTTGGAACAACTATCAGCTACCTAGAGAAAGTCATGCCTAGTTAATTATACGTAAGGAAGTTAGAAATGGCCAGGACTGCTATTAAAGAGAATCATCTAAATGTTTCATTTGAGCCTAATTCAAACAATTTTTCTTATCTAATTACAAAATAGTTGAAGTTAATCAGTGAGCAGCCCTTAGTCTACCTATTTTGAATACCTAGCTTGGGCTGTTGGCCTTGGGTCAATAACTGGGACCATGTGCCAGGTAAATAGCTGCTAAAAGAGAGTGAGCCCGTTAGCTATGAAGAGAACCTGTCCTTTATGGCACAGTCCCTCCCAGAGTCCCTGTGGGCTTCTACAGAGGCACAATTGTCCTCCTTCATTAATTTCTTAAAGTAGTGCTGTGAAAAAATTATTCTTATGAAATGTTTATCTCGATCTCCCAGTGCAAGAGGATGATCGTCCAAGGAGGTATCCCTTCCTTAGAAAAGCATAAGTTGTGACATACTAAGTACACAAACTTGGGAGGATGAATGCTACTGTAGATAAATTACAAGCTCTACTCATTCATATACAGTGGAAAAAAATACATCATTCCTCAAAATATAGGTCCCTTCTACTTTTCTATATATGTTTTGAGACACAGTCTCACTCAGTTGCCCTGCGGTTATCTGCTATGGCATCATACATAACTCACAGCAACCTCAGGTTCTTGCACTCGAGCAATTCTCTTGCCCCACCCTCCCCCAAGTATCTGGGACTACAGGCAACTGCCACAACGCCTGGCTATTTTTAGAGACAGGGTCTCATTCTTGCTCAGGCTGATCTCAAATTCCTGAGCTCAGCCAACCCACCTGCCTCAGCCTCCCAGAGTGCTAGGATTATAGGCGTGAGCCACTACATTTAGTCTGGTCCCTTCTACTGTTAAATCATCCCAATGAACACGTGCCACTGTTTATGTTGCACATTTGGGGACTTTTCTCCGTTTCTTTGTGTTTTAATGATTCCTAATCTGGGCAGGAAATATTTTCATATCTTATTAGATTCTTTCTTTTTTTTTTTAAAGTAATTTTAGCTAAAATATTTACATTAAGCATGTTTTCCTTTTCAGTTTGTTTTCTTATAACAGTTGGCTATACATACAATATAAATAAATCTTTCATTAAATGTAAGGAATAATAGGAATGTAGACAGCCTTTCTTGCATTATTCTATATACATATAGAATGTGTATGTGTATATATTATTTTATATACATATTTTGACTATGTTTTCATATTCTGGAGTCACTAAGAAAATCAGAACAAAAACAGAACTGGAAAAATCAATAAAGGTGTAAGAGAGTGTACACACCCGCACACACGTATTTAATTATTTGAATTGGATAAGCAACAAAATGGATACCTAGCAGGTATCTTGAGTAGCTAGATAAAAGATATGCAAAAGCTATCCCTCTGGAAATGTGGGCCAGGTATATTTTGATGATTAGAGTTATTTATATTTGAATTTTTATACTTGAATTTACTTTTACAGGCTACCTTGATCTACCAAAAATTAATTATATAGGACACCCACTATCCATTTACGCAATTGACATTTGGGTCTTTCCCTATCTCAGATGCTATTCTAGATACTGGTGATTCAAAGATGAGTAAACACAGTCTAGGCCTCAAGGACATCACCATTCATCATGGGAGACAAATATGTCAAAAGGCAAAATATAGCCATTCAGTATCATCGTAAAGATATTGCTTTTATGCTCTTTGAGGTTATGCTTGAAATGAATCTTAAAACATAGCTAGGAGTTCAGCAGCTCTCCAGCTGGAGAGGGCCTTCTGGGAAGAGGGGCCCTCGGATGTAAATACATTGAGAAATGTGCGAGCCTGTTTCTTTGAGGGAGCCAGGATTGGGTAAGGCTGGAGCACTGCCGCAGCGTGTGCGTGTGCAGAAAATAAATAACGAGAAATGGGAGGAGTTGGGTGGGGCTGCTGTGGAGAAAGAAGACAGTAGACAAGGACTAGCCTTAAAAGGCCTCGTAAACCACAGTAAGGAATTTGGACTTTATTCTTTGAGTGTTTGGGAAATAACTGAAGGATTGTAACTAGGGTAGAGGAATGATGAGATGCATATTTCTGAATGAGCCACATAGTACATGGATTTAAGGGGAAAGAAAAGGAGAGAAAGGCAAGGCAATGAAGCTACTTTTAAGAATTACTTGCAGTAATTCAGAGAGGAGCTGCCAGGACTAGAAGAATGACTCTGAGTCTTAAATAGATCTAAGCAAATGTCTCTTTACTGAGAGAGCCTCATATATAGTATTGATAAGTTTTATACGTGGGAAGGTCATAGGAGTGAAGGCTGAAACAATGTACAGCTTCACTCTAACCTTAACATACACACCTGTAAAGATACCCCCAAACTTGTGATATTTGATGCTATTAGCAATTAGCTTCCAAATCATGTTGGAGGAGAATATGTAATAGCATAGAAAAGTGGTCACGAACCTATGTATGGAAATCACCTTGTAAACAAACATTCGTAAAGTATAATTCTACTTTCATTTGTTTTTGTACATGAGGAGAAGTTGGTTTTGAAGGGTACCTCTGAAGAAAGAGATGATGAGATGGGTTGTGGGAAAAATCTCTGTATTGTTCAAAAAATTTTTAAGAATGTGTCCAGACCCATGTTTCCCTAAAAATAAATATCTTATATTTGGAAGGGGAAAAGGAGGAAAACACTGAAATGATGTATGTCAAGAATAGCTATAATTGGCAGTGAGATTTGGGTAGATTTTTATTTTCTTCTTTTTACTTTATTTCTCGGATTTATAATTGGATGTTCATATCACCTTGGTTACACAAAGAAATAATTGCAAATGAAAGACATAACTAGCCCTTATGTGAAAGGATAAAGGTACATACTATGTATTTAGCACATAGCAATCACTCACTTGAAATCAACTAATTATGTGTGCTAAATCACCTTCAAATGTACTGTAGAAAGTCATTACAACCTGGAAAGTCTGTCTCTACTAGGCTGCAGGGAGAATGAAGTTGACTTAACATAAGAAGAAGGAAGACCATTACAGTCATAGAGAAACCGAAAGTCAGGGTTGTAATTGTCATTATTTATTCAAAGGCCCCCACAGAATAAACTCACCCATCCTGATGGAGCAGGAGATTTCAGGCTAGCAGAGTCACAATTACATAATTTCCACAACAAACCTCTTTCTGATTACTTGGCTTTGTAATCAGAAATTCTAAGGTGACCATGAGATTGGCTTCCCACAGTGCTCCTACTGTGATTGTAAATGGAAACCTGACAAATGTCTCACTTAGTTTTGTGAGTGTGTGTCCATCTCTGAGAGGCTGAGGACCTCCAAAATTGACCAAATCAAAACTTCAGACCAGATCTGAACCCTTCCCTGGAGAAGCCCTCCTCCACGTGGGCTGGCTACACCCTCAAATGTTAATTGGCACTTAAAAACATTCTATAATTTTGTATCATCAGTGACTTTTAGCTGGACTCTCAACAAACACTTGGACAGGGAATGCATAATGATTAAAAGCTTGTGTTTTTTTAATTTCAAAATATAAAAGGGTATACATGGATATCTTATATCATGCTTGAGTAAGGCATTTAATGTGCCTATCACCTGAATAGTATTCATTGTACCCAATAAGTAGGTTTTTACCCTTTCTCTCCTTTCACTTCTCCCTTATGAATTTCCTATGACCTTGACATCTCTTGGTGCCCATATGTGCCCACCTCATACTCCCAATTATTATAAAGGACATGGGATGTTCATTTATCCATTCCCGAGATACTTCACTTAGAATAAGGGTCTCCAGTTTCACCCACGTTGTTACAAAAAAACATTCTTTCGTTCCTTTTTATGGCTGAGTAGTACTCGTGCGTGTGTGGTGTATGTGTTTGTATATACATACCCGACATTTTCATTATCTACTCATGAATTGATGGGTACTTAGGTTGATTCCACATCTCTGCTGTTGTGAATTTTGTAAAAGCTTAGCTTTTAGAATCAAACACAACCAAATTATATAGCTTCTCTACACCCTTGTGTGCAAGAATCCTTTATCACAGATTTAATATAAAAATTTATAGTGTCTAACAGAGTAAGTTCTCAGTCAGTGAGATTTTTTTTTTATTGCTATTAATAATGTTTAGCACATCTGGAGCATTAGATATTAAGGGAGTGACATACTATATTAGCATTCTTAAAGACATTTTTGTTTTGTAATAATAAAATGAACCAATTCTTTTTCTGGATTCTGTATAAAAAAATCATATGGGTTTGAATATGCATAGTGAAATAAAGCCCAGGCACACAGCCGTGGAGAACTTTACCAAGTGTAATTCGGAATCTTTCTTTCCTGATTTTATGTCTTTTCTTCTTTTTTCTTTCCCTCCCTCCTTCCCTCCCTCCTTCCCTCCTTCCCTTCCTTCCTTTCCTTCCCTCTCTTCCTTCCTTCCTTCCTTCCTTCCTTCCTTCCTTCCTTCCTTCCTTCCTTCCTTCCTTCCTTCCCTTCCTCCTTCCCTCCTTCCCTTCCTTCCTTCCTTCTTTCTTGTTTTCATTATTTTTTTTCTTTCTTATTCTCTTTCTCCCTCTCTCTTTGTTTCTTTTTCTGCTTGAATCGTACAGTGGCTTGTTGGAAGGGCTGAGTTCAGAGAAGTGAAAAATACGATCAAAAAGGCAAATATTCAACAAGTTGGTCTTCTGGGTTCTGTTATTCTGTTAAATGGCTTATCTCTCTTTTTTTCTTAAACTTCAGGTTGTATTTAAAGGGCCACACAGGGACAGCAGGAAAACAGAGCAGCCTGATCTTACATGGTGCTGATTTTAGTACTAAAGATGCTGATAACGACAATTGTATGTGCAAATGTGCCCTGATGCTCACAGGAGGTAAGTCCATGGGTCTGTTCCCTACACTGTGGTTCACTGGTTGGAAGCTTGAGGTTGCTTATCTGTGAGAAGAGGGTATGATTGTCTGGCCAGGGAACTGAAGAGCAAGTCCCTAGAAACCATTTTTCTGCCCTAATTTTCTGCCCTATGTTGTTGTGCAAGATGTTGCTAGCATATTTAAAGGTCTGCTTCCTCCCTCTGCACCTATAGTAGGAATGTGCTAAGTTGGTTCTGCATAAATTTTTTAGTCTCTCGAAGAACTAGTTATTCTACTTCTAAATAATCATGAATGATCCTTAGTGAAATGAACAATAATTTGGGAATTGAACATATACAGCAATTACTTCTTTTGTGTGGGGGGGATGGGGTTTGAACCCACCACCTCCGGTATATGGGGTCAGCACCCTACTCCTTGAGGCACAGGCACCACCCCTAATTCCTTCTTACAAAATGTTTTGCACCTGCATAGTAGAGTTTCTTCATCATGTATAAAAGTTGTGGATAAACCTAAAGTTAGGCAATTCAGACAAGCTATCCCTGGGTCTTTCACTATATGGTATGGCTTTGTAAGACATTTTAGCCAGTATAGAAAATATATTTAAGTACTATTGTATCATAGAGTAAGAAAGTTAAACCTTTTTGTACGTTTTCGATATTTTTCCAGCATTCTGATTATGCAGAAGAGAAACATTTCAACTTGATGCTAGTATATCTGTAATGCTTCTCTAGTCTTTACTAATCACCCTTGTTGCCAAAGAAAGAATAGACCATTGTCCTTAGCCTTAGAACCTTGGCTAAGCAATGGCATGTATATAGAATTAAATAATTTTATTTTGCTTTACTTTGAAGGGGTTTGTATCTACCTTCTAGTATAGAAAGTGGTGCTGCTTTCTTCTTTAAAGGAATGATATAAACTTTGCATTTTATAATGGATTCATGATACTTAATATTTTAGAAAATCATCGATTTAAAGAAAAAATATTAGTTAAATATTAATAAAAGTTAAAAATAAATATGGCAAAATCTGGGAATTTGATACATGACAGACTGAAATTTAGAAAACAGCCCGGGCTCAGTGGCCCACTCCTGTAATCCTAGCACTCTGGGAGGCCAAGCCAGGCAGATTGCTTGAGCTGAGGAATTTGAGACCAGCCTGAGCAAGAGCGAGACCCTGTGTCTAAGAAAAAAGAAAGAAATTTAGAAAACACTAAGCTAAAACCTGATAGCAAATAATGTAGCTCAAGACTGTAACATGCTCTGGTGGGGAAAGGTTGGAACTAAACAAAATGGTGAGGGAAACCTGTTTTTCAGTGTCTCCTTGCTCAGTTTTGGTGTCTTCCTCTCTTAATGTGTTAGCGGTCACACCTACCTTCACTCCTTCTGATATTGGATCTGTGTCATGCTATAATGAAACGTTATCTTTCTACCAATAAGGAAAAAACTGTTCAAATCTAACATTTCCTTTCCCCAAATACCGTGTGACACCGTGACTGTATTGCTGCACATGTGGTGCTGTCTTACCTCAACCTGAATCAGGCCAGCTCTGCCAGGTGGCAGGGAGAGAAAGCCTTGTCTTCACTTTGTACATTGGAAAATGAACATCAATTAATGTTCGCCATTTTATCCTCAACATCCAGCACAGTGGATTGTGACACACAGGAACTCAATAGAAAAGATGGCACGGGAATGAATGAAAGACTATCTTGGAGCCCTTAAAATCACTTTCAAATTTTACAGCCAGTGAAAGGAATGATTAGGTTGACACTTTTCTCATCAATTCACAGAACATGGAAAAGTATGAAGAGAGGTTTTAGAGAAATCTTTCCATCTCCTTCTTTATCCCTACCTGCCCCTTCATTACGACCACTGCCAAATCACTACACATGGACCTCCATCCGCTCCACCCATATTGACAGCTTTTTAATGCGAGACCAGCCACAGTAATATCAAAACCAACCTGTTATGATCTTGCCCCTATCTTACTCTTTTCCTTAAGCTTTGCCCATTGTTTTGGCATCACATTAAATGTCATCACGTATGTAAAAGTCTCCTATATGTATTTTTATGACTCTCTCTTCCCTTCAAGAATAGTTGCTACAAATTTAGATGTTTAAAAAATGGCACATGCAAGGTAGGTCTTGAACTTTCTTCTGAAAGAAATTTCCTATTTTCATTACCTCCTAGATCCCATAAATGAAACTATTAGCACATTTATAAATAAAAGAACTTCAATTTTCTAAATTTCTTCCCATTTTAATATTGAAATATGCTTCCTTTCCTTCATGTCTATTTTCACAAATAATTTTTCTTATCAAGTAAATATGATGCCTGAAAAACCAACAGTAAAATCTTAGAAGATCATTCCAACATGTTCCTGTACTTGTCAAAATAATGAAAATATGGAGTGAAGCAAAGAGGAGAATGCACATTTTTGGTTGTTGATGAGAAAAGTTCATTGCTCAGATTTACGATTTTATTTCTGCTTTAAATGACTGAACTTTGTCATGTTCTTTCATCCGTAATCATTCTTGGACTCACTTCATACTCACCAACATACACATGTGTTAGGGAGAGAAAATTTCCACTTCTTGCTTGAGCTGGAAGAGTCTAAGTAAATGTGTTTTTATAATAAGCACCACTACCCTATCAAATATCCTTTTGAAAGAATCCAGATCTTAAAATTATTCACGCCACAAAGCTAAAATGTGGAATTTAGATAGCAAAGAACTATAGAAATAAGGATGAATGTCAGTGACAATCCGGGTAACTGATGTGTTCCCAATAGCTTATGTCCTAGTTAGTTGCTCCCCTCCACTGCTATTTATCCACTGCTAATTTTACTCTTCTTTTTTTTTTTTTTTTTGTCTTATGATTTTTCCTTTTTCCCCTAAATTTGTATTTGAACTTGTTACCTATTTAAATTAGTCTCTCTCTTTCAAGCAATGAGATTTCATACTCTTTAGAACTAAGAACTCAGAGTTCTTTGTCATTATCAATTAATGCTTTGTTTCATCTTGCTTATTTATATATTTTTCTTTGTTTCTTCTAAAAGGAATTAAAGCTAAAGTAAGATGTATTTCCCACTATCTGTCCTAGATAGTTTTCTTCCAATACACAGAAGGATTTTACCTGAAGAATGTGGTATCATTGTTGTTATCTTTACCTGTCAAAGACTGGACAGCCAGAGATAGGCTTAATTGAAAGCAGAAGGTATTTCAGCTAGACACAAAGTAGAACATTTTGATCTTTGGTTCTTCTGTCCTAATACCCTAACTTCTTAGCTCTTGTTTATCAATGTAATGAATTTTGATTGGTACCTATTAAGGGGGTCAACTACTATTTGTAGAGAGAAAGACTGAATAGAGCTCGCATGTACTGAGGAAGATTGTCAACAAAAATGTAAACAACAAATAACAACACTTCAAGTCCTAACAAGTTTGTTGACAAAATATAACATGATGAGTTATTGGAGGAAGTGACTTTCCGTGGAGTATCCAAAAATGAAAGACCAGAAAGAATTTTCAAGGAGGTTGTGTGTTTCTAGTTATAGACATCGTCAAGAAAATAATAAAGCTCTATTTATTTGAAAGAGTTTAATGATGCACTTTTCTGTAGTTTGGGGTCCAGTAAAAATAGTCTCTCAAGTTTTCTTCTGGTTCTATGATACTGTTATCCCACATACTCATTACAGCTGCTCCTAGGGGAAAAAAATGCCTATTATTTTTCAATGCTCACTAGTAATTCCTAGTACACTGTTGCTTTGAAGAGACATAGTGGGCTGAGATGCATTATGTATTTGCATCAGTAAACATAGATATCACAATGCCTTACATACTCTTTCATGGAAGTATGCAAACCTATTCCTACCTTATCAAAAAGCCAGCAATTCCTCCATTCAGTTTTAATGTTGAATGATTTTTATTGTTCATTACACATTTATTGATAAACTAGAGCATATATTTCAAGGCCAAAATTACCACCCACATTTTCTATGGAAATGGCTCCTTAATTAACTATCCATGGAGATGGTTAGTCAATATAAATTTCTAAATATTTGTGCTGTGTAGTAGCCCTTTCTCTTCAGGTTTCTGCCTTTATGTAAGATATTTCTGCAGTGGGAGTGATAAATTGAAAGGTGACTATAAAAATATTTTCTTGGTCCTTCAGGAAAGCTCCTATTGTGCATCCTGAGATTAGAGAAATGATTAAGTTTCATTAAAAACTTAAGTAGTGGCTCGGCGCCTGTGGCTCAAGCAGCTAAGGCGCCAGCCACATACACCTAAGGTGGCGGGTTCGAATCCCCAGCCCGGGCCCACCAAACAACAATGATGGCTGCAACCAAAAAATGGCCAGGTGTTGTGGCGGGTGCCTGTGGTCCCAGCTACTTGGGAGGCTGAGGCAGGAGACTCGCTTGAGCCCAGGAGTTGGAGGTTGCTGTGAGCGTGATGCCATGGCACTCTGCCCAGGGGGACAGCTTGAGGCTCCGTCTCAAAAAAAAAAAAAAAAACTTAAGTAGTGTTATCTGTTATTTAACATTAAGAAAATGAAAATGTAATCTCATTCAATGCACATTTTTGTTTTTAGAGATTTATTGGATTTGAAAATAAATATGTAAAAAAACCTTCTGACTTCAACATTAAGAAAGTAAAATATTTTATTACTAGGTTGTCACATTCAAAGCAAACTTACATTCAACTAAACCATGATTATTTGATATTAAATTGAGAATATTCAAAATAAGTATTTCTAAAAGTTTAAGTTACAATTATTAAACTACAACTGTTAAAAATATAAATAAATGCTTATTTCTAAATTTCTTGTAAACAATAATTATTAAAATAGCCAATAACAAACAACAAACTATATGTCATTGTTTTACATTCCTTACTTTGCTTTTCTCTAAATGGAATTTACATATTTAGTACATAGTATAAAACCTATGTAGAAATATGACCAAACCTTCTAAAGAAAGAATCTGTTGCAGTAGAAATTCTGATCTT